ACTATACTGTTTATTTATCATTTAAAGCCAGTTTATGTGTAATTGGTGTTTTTACATTACCGAACTATTGCTTGCCATCAGTGGGGCTATTAAAGTAACAATAAGTGCGCTTAAAACAGCAGAGAAATACTACAGACGGGAAGAAAGAGGTGGCGTAACACAACACACCCACTACTACAAGCAATAGATTTGCCATGTGCTTATCCTCCTGCCTTCTCCAAGCAATGGTACATACAGTAACATATTAAAAAGGACAGCAGAAAGTAAATAATCCTAATGACATTCCGTCAAGACCATTGCGAGAGTTTGCTCCCGAACTCGCCTCCTTTCTGCACACCTTTAGCAACTCCGTCACTGTGGGCGTGGTACCCGCTGGTCATTCCAGTCCCAATTTCCAAAAGAAATCCACGTTATTCTCTCGATGACCTTAGGCTCCTCTCGCTAACCCCTATTCCGTGCAAATTTATCGAAAAAATATTTGTTATGTAATTATAGAAGAAAATAAGAATTATGGATAACCCTATCACTGACTTCACCTCAAATGTAGATACACGACTGGAGATGACCTCCGGCACCATCGATCTGCGAGAGCTTTCGATTACTCCTCTTTAACCAAGAAAATGATTTCCCTGGGGTTTCACGAGGGCTGATTGGAACGAATCTCCTCCTCGTCGACCTCCACTCTGAGAGATCTCGGGTAAATAACCAAATATCCGATGAGAACGAACAAGGTGTCCCTTGAGGAACGGTCTACGGCTCACAGTTAACCCTCAGTTAATGAGGATGTTGTTCCACGAGCGAAGATCTACAAGTACGTACAGGACACGACGCTAACCCTCGTACACAAACCAGCAGAAGGCAACATCCCGTTACAAGGTTCCCTTAATCATGTGTCGGATTGGGCTTCGTTGAGAAAAGTCATAGAAAAAAACTAAAAAGTGCATGGAAAATATTAAATGCAACGAAGTACCCGACTTTAATTGAACTTTAAAAATAGATAATGACCATTATCTGAAGTGAGTCTGTTAGGAGCGGCTATCAATGAAGATCTCAAGTGATTCAGTAACACACGTAGAGGAAAGAAAGAGAAATAAGATGTGGAAAAAGGTTTTATATATTTCCCAAACTAAAAGCATTTGATGCGCGTCCATATATGTATGTATGTGTGCATATATGTATATATATGTTTGAATGTGTGTGTGTATGTGTGTATGTATGTATGTATTTATGTGTGTATGTAAGTATACATATGTATGTGTATGTATGTACATATATGTATACATGTATGTATGTATATATGTATATGTGTATATATACATGTACATGTATTTATGTATGCATACTATCATTATATACAATGGTATTTTGTAATAGTATTATTAGTTTATGTATTTACTTATATTATGTCTTGATTTCTGTTTCGATCAAACACATTTTTACAAGTTATATACTATATGATATGTATTACTATCAATGATTGATACCTCAAGGGGCCTTCCTAAAGGAGTCTCACTCCTGGAGGGCTCAGCCACACCACTATTGTTGTATGTTGTATTTTTGTTGATGCATTATATTTGACTAAATTATTTGATTCTGACTCTGATATACTCCGTATATGCACGACCTCCATACGCCATTTGCGAATTTGCAGCGACTCTGGCTTTCCTACATAGCTCACTTTGAAAAATCAAATAGGAAAGACCAACAGAGACTAGCATATCATAACTGGATCAGACTATAACTCTTATACCGATGCACTATTTCAGCTGTCCTGAAGAGAATTTTTAACAAAAAAAAGTTTGCCTAACATCGTAACGTCGACTATGTCAACTTAAAAAACACCTCCGTGAAAAAACACGCCAAAATATGTGAACCAAAGCGTCATACAACCAGATGTTATGTGT